TCTAACTCGTTCTTTTGATTGTGTTGTTTCTTTTACCAACAATTTTTTGTGTTTACATGACCGGAGTTTGAAACACCGGTCCTAAACAGGTGATTGGCACAGGATGTGAGTCTCATGGTCTTTATCATTTTCGTCTCTTTACACATGTTGGTGCAGTTATGGAGTCTCCCTCTCTTTTTCGTGATCAGTTAGGTCATTCAAGTCTTGTCAAGGTACAAAAGCTTGTCTCTGTCTTGTCCAACTTGTCTAGTTTGGCGTGTGAGTTGTGTCAATTAGGCAAGTATAGTCGTACTTCTTTTCCTCGTAGTGTCACACGTGTAGCTTCGTCCCTTTTTGTCATGATTCACTCTGACATTTGGGGACCTAGCTATGTTATGTCTACTTTAGGTTTTCAATACTTTGTTACTTTCATTGATGATTATTCCAGATGTACTTGGTTATTTTTGATGAAAAATCTTTCTGAATTAATTCATATCTTTCAAACTTTTTTTAATGAAATTCAAACCCAGTTCGGTGTTTTTATTAGAATTTTGCATAGCGATAATAGTCGTGAATATCTTTCTTATTCTTTTAAATAATTCATGGCTTCTCACAGTATTTTGCATCAAACTTTTTGCGCTTATATACCTCAACAAAATGGTGTAGCTGAACGTAAAAATAGACATCTTATTGAAATAACTCGTACTCTTTTAATTCATAAAGAGGTTCTTCAACATTTTTGGGGTGTTGCTTTTCTTATTGAAAATTATCTCGTTAATCGCATGCCTTCTTCGATTTTAGATAATAAAATACCTTATTTCATTTTATTCTCTCATTAACCTCTTTATCTTTTATCTCTAAGAGTTTTCGGGTCTACATGTTGTGTTCATAATTTAAGTCCTGGTCTTGACAAGTTTTCTCCTAGATCACATAAATGTATTTTCTTAGGGTTTACAAGACCATAAAAAGGATATAAATGTTTTCTCCTTCTCTTAACCGTTAATTTGTGTCTGCAGGTGTCACCTTTGATGAGTTCTCTCTTTATTTTAAAAGGCAATCTTCACCTCTGTCTCCATCCAATCCTGTCAACACTCCTTGTACATTTAATGTTTCTGTTATTTGTGACCCTCTAACGGTATCTTTTTTACCTTTTTCACCATTAGTTCTTGCTCCGCAGTCAGCTTCTTTTCCACCGCCTCTTTAGGTTTATAGTCGCCAAAACCAATCACAATCACCACCATGTGACTCCACTCAAGTGCCAACTACTCTGTCTCCTCCAGATCTGACATCTGAGTTTGATCTTCCCATTGTCCTCCGAAAAGGTATTTGTTCTACACGTAATCCCTCTCCCTATTATATTGCTTTGAGTTATCATCGACTGTCATTATTTTTTTTATACATGTCTTTTCTTTATTTCTTTTGTGACCATTTCAAAAACTGTCCGTGAAGCTTTAGTCCATCCTGGTTTGCGTCAGGTAATGACAGATGAACTAAGTACTCTTCGTTATAGTGGAACTTAGGAATTGGTCCCGTTACCGTCTGAGAAATCTGTTGTTGGTTGTAGGTGGGTGTTTGCTATCAAAGTTGAACCTAATGGTACTATTGATTGACTCAAAGCTTGTCTTGTGGTCAAAGGTTATACTTAAATTTTTGGGTTGGATTATAGCGATACCTTTTTTCCTGTGGCAAAGTTGATTTCTATTCGTTTATTTATCGCCATGGCTGCTCTTCAACAATGACCTCTTTATCAACTGGATGTTAAAAATATTTTTCTCAATGGTGATTTGCAAGAAGAAATTTATATGGAGTAACCTCATGGGTTTGTTGCTCAAGGGGAGTCTTCTGGGATGGTATGTCGTCTTCGCAAATCCCTATATGACCTAAAACAGTCTCATTGGGCCTGGTTTGGAATGTTTAGCAAGGTTCTTCAACAATTTGGTAGGATTCGGTGTGAAGCAGGTCATTCTGTCTTTTATTGACACTCGAGTGCTGGATGTGTGTACTTAATATTATATGTTGATGACATCGTTCTTACAGGTAGTGACAATCATGACATCTCTCAGTTGAAACAACATATCTGTCACCATTTTTAGACCAAAGATTTTGGCAAACTTATATATTTCTTAGGTATTGAGGTGGCACAATCCAATGATAGTATTGTTATATATCAGAGGAAGTATGTCATGGATATTTTGGAGGAAATTGGGTTGATGAGTTCAAAGTCTGTTGATACACCCATGGATCCCAATACTAAACTACTACCAAATTAGGGGGAACCTATATTTAATCTTGAGCAGTATAGAAGATTGGTTGAAAAATTAAATTATCTTACAGTTACTCGTCCTGACATTTCTTTTACAGTTAGTGTGATAAGCTAATTTCTTAATTTCCCAGGTGAAGATAATTGAAATGCAGTCATTTGTAAATGATCTTCTAAAAAAGGATTGTTATATGGTTCTAATAATCATACAAGAGTTGTTTGCTACTCAGATGTTGATTGGGCGGGATCTCTTTCGGATAGAAGATCTACATCTGGTTATTGTGTCTCCATTGGTGGTAACTTGATCTCGTGAAAAAATAAGAAGCAGAGTGTTGTGGCAAGATCAAGTGTAGAAGTAGAATATAGAGTTATAACCTCAGCTGTCTGTGAACTTGTTTGGTTCAAGCAATTGCTAAGAGTTACAATTTGGAAATGTCACTCAAATGACACTTGTGTGTGACAATCAAGTTGCTTTTCATATTAGTTCTAATATTGTCTTTTATTAGAGGACCAAACACATTGAGATTGATTATCATGTTATTCGAGAAAATATTATTTTTATTCAAGTGAGTTTGTTAACTCAAATGATCAGTTAGCAGATATTTTTACTAAGTCTTTACGGGGTCTAGAATTGATTATATTTATAACAAGCTTGACACATACGATTTGGGAGCTTAAGGGAGAGTGTTAGATATTGTTTAGATATTGATAAGATATTGTTAGATATTGTTAACCATAATATCAAATAATATTTTTTTGTTTATTCTGTTTACTTTCAATTACTCTTTTAGTTGTATCTCTCTCTATTATAAATAGATTACTCTATGTGTGATTTATACACAAGGAAGATTAATCTCAAACCTTATTTCTTCTATAATCAACAATAGCCATGGTAGCTTTTTAACAAAGGTCTCTTTACCAACCGGTTGTCAAAAATGGAGATTTATTGGAAGAAATTTATATGGAGCAACCTTTCGGTTTTGTTGCTCAGTGGGAGTCTTTTAGATTGGTATGTCGTCTTCACAAATCTTCATATGGCCTAAAATAATCTCCTAGGGCCTGGTTTGGAAATTTTAGCAGTGTTGTTCAACAATTTTGTATGACTCGCAGTGAGGTAGATCATTCAGTTTTTTATCGTCACTCAAGTATTGGGTGTATCTATTTAATTGTATATGTTGATGATATTGTTGTTACATTGAGTGATCACTATGGCATCTCCCAGATGAAGCAACATCTTTGTCAACCACTTTCAAACCAAAGATCTTAGCAAATTTAGATTTTTCTTGGGAATTGAGATTAGCACAATCGAATAATGATATTGTTATATCTCAAAGAAAATATGCATTGGATATTTTAGAGGAAATTAGGTTGATGAACTCAAAATTTATTGACATACCCATGGATCCCAATACCAAACTCCTACCTAATCAAGGAAGCCTCTCTCAAATCCTTCTTAGATCCTGTGAAGAACAGAAGACTACTCGTCCTGACATTTTTTTTGTCGTCAGTGTAGTGAGTCAATTTCTTAATTACTAATGTGTAGATTATTGGAATACAGTGATCCGTATATTAAAGTGCATTGAAGAATCTCTTGGAAAATGTTTGTTATATGATCATAATAATCAGGTTAAAGTTGTCTGTTATTCAAATACTGACTGGGCAGGATCTCCTTCTAATAGAATATCTACTTCTGGATACTGGAGGTAACTTGATCTTTTGGAAGAATAAGAAATAAAGTGTTGTGGCAAGATTTAGTGCAGAAGCAGAATGTAGAGCTATGATCTCAGTCTCTTGTGAACTTGTTTGGCTTAAACAATTATTTAAAGAGTTGCAATTTGGAGATGTCACTCAAATGATACTTATATGTGACAATCAGGCTGCTCTTTATATTAGTTCTAATCTTTTCTTTCTTAAAAGGATCAAGCACATTGGGTTGACTGTCATTTTATTCAAGAAAAGATTATATTTGGAGACATTAAAGACCGAATTTGTTAGTTCAAGTGAACAATTAGCAGATATTTTCACAAAGTCTTTATGAGGACCTAGAGTTGATTATATTTATAAGAAATTTGGTATATAGAAATGTTCTACCTTGAGGAGTATTGTTAAATATTATTAGATATTGTTAGTCATAATATCTTATAATTATCATATTTATGTGTGTTTGTCATATTTTTCTGTATTATTTTTTATTATAAATATATTACTTTGTGTATTTTGCACACAAAGAAGATTAACCCTATACCTAGTTTTCACTATATTTAACAATTGACAAGGGAAGATTTACTTGAGTAGACTACTTCTTTGCTCTGAGACTCTTGTTTTGCTTTGGAGAGCAATTGGTCACAATTTAAGCTCTTAGCTGCGTCCCAGGACAGTTGCAATTTCCTGGCATGTTTAGTTTTATCAAGATGTAATTTGAGCTCTCGCATCTTATATATGAGTTCAAATACAATTCTTGATCTTTAAGCCAGATATTTGACATAGATTCACGATTTTTTGTATGAGTGTCAAAGATGTAAACACTATCTCCTGTGTTCTGTAGACATATAGCCACTTGGTCATTTTAAGTTGCCACTCTCTCTTGATTGTCTATATTTACATAAATTATAGTAAAATGGATCATGGTTGTCTAAAGTAACCTTTACGACCCCAGGTTGCAACATTTATTGTTCAAAAGATTCTGTTGGACGATGTGGGTTTGGACTATATTTGTACTACAGCTGAGCGCTTTTTTGCGGTGGGTAGAGTTTTGGGGAACATGGTGGCAGCTCTTGCTGAGCAACCCTCATCTCGTCTACTGAAGCACATCATTCGGTGCTATCTTCGCCTGTCAGATAATCCAAGGTTGGTTACTAATTTACAATTACATACTTGTTCTTTCTTCATCCCTTCCAACTAATTTGCCTCGTGTCATACCCTTTTTGTTTTCAAGTTTCATGTCTCTGATTAAACTTTGCTCTGGTTAAAACAGGGCTTGTGATGCATTAAGAAGCTGTCTGCCAGATATGTTAAGAGATGCGACTTTCAACAGTTGCCTTCGTGTAAGTACTTATAGTTCCCGTTATAGACAAATTTGATTTAGTGAATAGAGTAAGTGGCTAGACTAAAGAAATCATAAGCTCTGAAGAAAGGAGGGTAGTGAAGTTACTAGAAAATTTCATTTTATATAACCAAAACTAGGATATAATTCCTTTAGAGTGTTTTTGGTGTTGTTTTCGTAATTAAAATTAGACTTTAACCTAAGGAATGTATGTTGATCTTTAATGTAAACATTTATTACGTGGATTACGAAGGTGAAATTCCAATTGTAATTAAAAACAACACCATTTGACCAAGGAACCTATGTTGATCAGTAATGTAAATTTATTACTAGGACTATGAAAGTGAAACTCATTCTTATTTGAAAATAACACTAGAAGTACCTAAATAACTGCATTTAAGTTTTCTCCTTTAGCAAAATACATGCTTTGTTTGCTTACGTTATCTTTGTTTCTTCAGGAAGACCCCACAACTAGGAGGTGGTTACAGCAATTGCTTCACAATGTTGGAGTGAATCGAGTTCCTGCACTACAAGCTGGAGGAGGTTTCGATCATATGATTGTGACCTGAGATAAGTTACAGATCTTGCATGGTTGCTGCCAACATCCCTTTTTCCGGTTATATCCATTTTTCATGAAACTATGTTGGTCAGAGGGAAAGGCTGTAAGTATTGGTTCATGGAATCAAGTTGGAAGACATTTTTCTTTACATATTTTTATGATAGGTGGTTCTTTATACCCATCGTGCAGTTAAGATTAAATTAAGACATTGAGGTGGGTTTTACTCCTTAATGAGCTTTTAGTAGGTACATTAAGGCAAATTATGAGTGATTGCAATTTGGGTAATTTTTTTTATATTTTCTTTCATCCAATAATGAATAGAATGAGTTGGGATATTATTTTAGAATTTAAACTTAAATTTCAATTCAATTTTCTTTGGATAGAGTTTAATTTAATTTTTGGTGAAGATTGTTCAAATTTTATAAATAGGATCAAATTACTATTGAGATTGCAATTGAGGTTCCCTTCAAGAGCCTTTAACGAATGCAACTTAGGATTGATCACAATTAAAAGTAGTTTATTTAAACCCTTATGAACAAGATTTTATTTTTATAGACTTCTATAATGAATTGCTGCCATTACACTAGAAGCTGTTTGGCAATGTTCTACTTTGGTTAGTGCCCTTCCATAACACCACTCCCATGGAAAGAAAGCACGTTACATATATTCTCAATCACGTTAGATAACTTTTCTTGTGAGAATATTTGTGTTTGCTGGTAGTATTCTCCATGATGTTATGGCCCTTTTAAGCAACTTATCCAAATTCTTTCCCTTTTTAGGCCCTCACGTTTCCACTATTCAATGGAGGAATGAGGTTTCCATGTGTGCACGGAAGTTAAATCAAAGTCAGGTTAAGATTTCTTCTTGGCACATAAATTGTGGTTTAAAATTGGCCATGTTTTTATTTGAAGATTATTCTTCAGTTTTTTTAGTAAAACAATAATAAATAAGAAGGCATCTTAATTAGGTATATTGGTGCTGTTAGTAGGTGTCTATTTAGAGGGTCATTCAGCATGCTTTAATTACAAGCAATCTTAAATTGTGAAAGGTTTTCTTTATTGTAACTACTTGATAACTAGTCCCTAGGATCATATTTTATTAGAATGAGTTAATTTTTTTATATTTAACTATTTACTTTAACCAATGTTGGCTTACACTGTCTATTGATAGTTGACTTAATCGTTGATTTTATTTTTAAAATATTAGTGCTAAAACAAAGACTAAATATATTATACATCCATAAAGTGGAAGATATTCTTTATTCACCATCCCCCAAGAATATTTCTTGGAGCATAAAATTAAAGCATCTTTCACCCTTTAAGGATGAGAATCAACAAAAGGGTCATCATAGATTGTATTTTTGAGGCAATTCGCCGATCATATTCAAATAGTATCCTTGAATTGAAAAATTAATGTTGTAAAATACTTATGAATATGTAATAAACTATTACCAATAAATACTACACGTCTTATGGTAAAAAATTATCATTCAATTACAAATCATTATATCTAATAAGTTTATTGACTTTTATCGTAATTACTTTAAAATCATGTCAATAATAATCTATAGTTGGATGATACTATAAAATTATTTTATACTATCAGGATTAACATTAAAATGTTTGTACTAAAAAATTATAGTTTCTATATAAAAAAAATGTTCAGCTTGAATTTTTTATATTCAATAAAAATGATGTAGTTATAATCTATGAATATAACCAAAAGTACGTTATTTTTAAAAAATTTCAATGACAAGTCATATTTCTTATAAGAGAGAATATAACGTTATATTAAGTCAACCTTAAAATAATATATTATGTTTCTTTTTTACTTATAAATAATCAAACTTTCTCTCGTTTCTAACTTAATATAAAATTTGAATTCATAGATTTCCATCATTTTTATACATAGGTAAATTTAGATGTAATACACAGTATTTTTAAAATTAGACATATCAATTAACTATTAAATATATATGTTTAGGTTTACAAATTCACATTAAAAATTATTTATTGAAATTACAGGATAAAAATTATAATATTGATCAAATTTTTTTTCATATATTCTCAAGTTTTAGATGGGTTTAACTATTTAGAAATTATTTGATTTTAACTCGTTATATATTTATTCAAGTTTGTTTGTATAGTTTAAATGAAAAATTAAAATATGAAATTGAGCTCTATTGTTTAAACCAACTAAGTTTAGGTTTTACACACTCTATCTATTACAAAAAAAATGTTTATTCATTATAAACTTTCGTGAATCTTAAAAATGATTTTGAAGATTCTTTTTCACACTAGCTAAGAAATTATAATTTTTTTTATTTACTAAAAATGATTTTTTTTACAAATTTTAACTTTTTTTATTGTTAGTCTCGATTAAATGATGGATTCTTTCAGATTTAAGTTTTGTAAAAAGAAAATATAATTAGTAGAAAAAAACTTCACTTTTACGTGCAAATAAAATAAAGATACTTTTTTAATTTGATCAGTTAAATTTTATACTGAAAATTTATCAAAACAAAAATTAGTAAATATTATATATTATGATAACTAGAAACCCCATTTAGATAAATAAGTAAATATTATACATAATAACATACGAAATCCAAAAAATACTTCACAATTGAAAACGATAATCTGAATGAATATTCTAGGCATATGACCCCACAAAAACACCAAAATAGAAGGGTATATGATACCTTTCTTTTTTAAAGAGACAAAACGACAAAACAAACTTCAAGTTAGGTTTATTGTTAGAAAAGTGAATAAAAGAAATTAATGAAAATGTTTAAGTGTGAATAAAAGGGACTTGGTTCCTTTAACATGCATTCCAAGCTCATTAAAATCATTAGTTATTATTCATTATTTAAAGTTAGGGATAAAAAAATGGGTCAACTTTAATGTTTAAATTTTGCAATTGGTCTAAAAAAAATGGTAAGATGAATTAGTGTTTTAACCTGTTAAACTGTCTCGTCTAGCCTGTCCTATCGTTTAAAAAAAATATTTTATATTAAAATTAAAATAAAAAAATATAATAAAAGTATTATATTTTTTTTATATTATTGAAATATGTAAATATATTATAATATTATAATTTAAATTATTGATTATAATTAGTTTTTTGACACATAAATATAATATTTTTTCAATTTACCTAATAAAAATAAATTAATAAATAAAAAATTAAAATTTATTTATATAATTAAAGATATATTTAAAAAAATACATATAAAATATTTTATGTAAAAAAAAAATGACTGATGGACTAATCTGTCCTAATTATGACCAACTAGTACACCTCGTCTCCTTTTTTACAAAATCCCTATTTAAAATGCATTGATAATCTAATTAATCTTGGTTAAGTTGGATAACAACATTTCTAATTATTTCGCACTACTACAATTATGATAGAAATCATTAAAAAATATTTAATTTTATATTCATAGAGAGAAAAAGTAACTCAAATTAAAATAAAAATAGTAAGTATTTGGATAAGAGATTTGACATTTAAAAAAAAAACTTTAAATTTTTTTAATTTAAATTATTTAAATTTTAAAATGTTTTATTTGAATGAGGTAATCCGTATTTATCGAATTTTTATTTTATATTTTTCATAAAGCATTTTAACCACAATTAAATATAAAAAATTGTTTTAATATTAATTAATATTTAATTATTCAAAATATTAATGATGATTTTTTTATTGCTTAGTTATATTTTTAATAAAAGTTTATATTGATAAAGATTTTTCTGAAATCAATTAGGTTGTTTTCGATTAATATCGATGATAATTACATGTTAGATTAAGTTATTTTTTATTAAATTTTTTAATCATTGTTGATAACATAATATTGTTGTTATTGAACAACAAAATGCTGACTAAGATAATTTAAAAAATAATATTAATTTATGTTATCGAAAAAAAATCATAAAAAATAGTTAAAGAAGTAATATTTAATTGATTATAATTCGTCTCAACCAAATAAATAACATTTTCATGGATCTTAATCAAGATGTAAATTTAGAAGAAAATATCAACTTTTATCACGTTGCGGATATTTCAAATGTACTTTTAAAAAAAAAAGATAATAAATGTAAAATATTAGAGAATATAAAAAATTTTAAAAATGAAATTTTATTCTTTTTAAATGAGTAGTAAATTTCATAAATTTCAACAATTTTTTTATGAATAAATTCAAAATACTTATCTACTTTCTCATTTAATATATATATATAAGCACTTGTTTTAGATTTTGAATGAAAAACTAATTGCCAAGTAGTGCGAAATTGTTTTAGAAAACATTTTCTTTTAAAGTGAGAATGAAGAAAGGGATTTCAAATTTTCAACTTTGATTGTCATGGTCATGAAAATTTAGAACTCAGACCCACATGTGTTCAAACAAAGATGCCATAAGAATTGACCTTGGGAGCAAAAATAAACAAATGGGAGTTCTTCTCCGTTTGCCAAATGCCAATGTTTCTTTGTTGAATTTTTCATGGGGACCAGAACATGGTCCCCCATCACATTAAGACACTGTCCCCTGCTTAACATCAGAGCCATATGTTTATCCAATCAACTAAATTTTATAATCTATATGCTTGAAAAAACTTTTCCACAAATAAAAGAGAAAAAAAAAATTATTTCCTCTTATTTTCATGCCATTTTTCAGTATGATATTCCTCAAGTTGGCCATTTATCAGTCAATACATGACTTCACATAGTGGCAACCAAGTCAATTAGTCATCCAAGAACAAGAACAAGAACTACTTCTCTTGCATATTTTTAATGATGAGACAGCTACAAACATATATCTGATTTTGAATAAGATCATTCAGAACATCCTCTATTCATTCTTTGTTGAATGAAGGAATCTGATAACACCATACTAGAACCCTCTTAACTGTTATTTTTATGTGATGATGATACTGATTAGGAAACAGACTTGACCTTGGATTCAGAAGTTAAAATATATACAAACCCAATGGAAGGGAAAAAACAACAACCATCAGAGCAGAATAATATGGTTCTCATAAGGACCATTGTTTCTAATGTAGCGCATTAGAGTATTCACATTATTCTATTGTAAAAGCTAATGCACTCAACCTAAAAGGCTTTTTGATAAATCCATGATTCCTCACTTTGCATCTTCAGTTGCTTGTAGAAGTTTCCAATGAAGGCCTCAGCTTTTGCAGACAGCTCTTGCCCATTAACTCCTCCAAACTCCTCTTCTGCTTCAAGTTCTTCATCCATGACTTCTTCATCAGCTTCTCCACTCCCTATGACGAATAGGCTAGGCTTTGAAGGACAATTTTGCACCATGTCCACTTTGGTGACACAAACAACCCTCTCAGATGCAGACTTTTCAGCATGTTCTAAGACAGCACCAACAACTGTAGGGGTGGAATTTGAACCTTCACTTTTCTCAAAAGTGGCTTCTGCTGGCATCACAGGTTTAGTGGTAACAGAAGCAGGTTGCTTTTTATCTTCTAAAGGCCTAGAAAAAACTGAAAGGAGTCCAGCTTCAGCACAGAGTGCCATGATGAGAAAGTTTATGATGAAATACAAGTAGGTTGGCCTCAGAGAGGAAGGTAAAGAAGGTGTGATGACAAGAAGAACAACTAGAACAAGCAGCACTAGAACTTGAGATTTCTTAAACTTGTTCATGGCTTTTGAAAATAAGAGAAAAAGTATGAGTAGGAATGACGAGAAAGAACAAGATGAACAAAAGGTAAATTGGAATTGGCAGTTGTAGGAATAAGCATGGGGTTCTGAATGTGCATATATAGAGGACATAAAAGTGGGGTGAATGAGATAAAGGAGGGAAAGAGAGAGAAGAAGCCGTGGAAATTGTGTATTAGATTATACTATAAAGTCAACAAAAAGTACTAATAAAATTGTGGATGCTGAAAATTCCAAGAAAATTCTCACAGACGGGAACAAAAGTTAACATTTTCTCACTGCTTAACCAGTAACAGATATCGAGTCTTAAGTCCAGTCTGAAACAAATATTAAAATCCACACGAAACTTACTGAAATTAACTTTATATGAAATGAAACTATTACCATTAATGATTTTCAAAATTGAAAATGCAAACACCAATGTTTGAATGATTGAAAGAAGAATATGTAAATCTTATCAGTGAGAATGTGAGATAAAACCAATGGCATGGCAGATAAAAATTTGAGGGTGGCCATCACTTTTTTTTGGTTTGCTTCGTGATGGCAAAGGTTGTGATTAAGTCATTTATGTGCATGACCACATCAGAAAGAGATTATTAAGATTGAGAATTTGCCTTTGGCTCTAAAGTGTGACAAGGTGACGTTAGAGCCTCATTGATAAATGAGGTAAGTAGGGTCAACAGAGGATGCAAGATTGCAATAGACAAAGTTGGGAAAAGCATATCCCCAAATTTATGCAAATGGTTCTTCGTTTAATTTTTAACGTGTTTTTTTATTTCGCGTTTAGTTCAAAAATATCATTTTTATTACTTTAAGAAATTATGAAACATGGTCCAATCATAGAAATAGCATTTCACGTGTTACTGAATGTGTTCTTTCATTTTTGTTTTTTTTTTTAATCCGACTTCAAGGTTAAAGATTTAATCGGTTTCAAAATTTAATAAAACAATATTTTTATAATATAATAATTCTATACTAAATTTATTAATAATAATATTTTTATAAAAAAATAATAATTAATGTTATGATTTAAAAATTATAAATATAAAATATATTAAAAAATAAAAGATAAATAATTATTAAAATAACTATTATTTAAAATTATTATAATTAATATAAGATAAAAAAATTTAATTCTAATTTTTTTTTACTAAAATCGATTCAATCTAAAAATCAATTTTTTATTTTATCTTAATTTAATTAAAATTCAGTTATTTAAAAATAATGGATTTTTTAACTTAATTTTCAGTTATAGTTATCTTAAAATACAGACAAAAAAAAGATAAAATTTGTTTATTTTATTTTTTTATATTTAAACTTGTCCACCAAAATTTACTAAAACATCTGTATATGTACGAAACACACCCGTTATAATTGAAGAGAAAACTTGATCAAATAAGTTTTATTCAACGAAAATAATTTTTTTTTAATTCCATGTGCTTATATATATATATATATATATATATATATATATATATATATATATATATAATTAACTACAAAAAATAATTTTCTTGTTCCTATTATAAATTTTAATATTAAATTATTAAAAAGTAAAAATGGCAAGGGCCATGTTTTTATTTTAAACAATATTTCTATTAGATAATACATACTTGAGATTTATAGAAAAAATAGAATGTCATAAAATATTTAAAACTTTTTGTAGGATGTAAAATATTTGTGTTCGATTTACTTTCTCGTGAAGGTCATTAATAAATTATTTACAATATTATTAAAAATGAAAAATTCTTAAAATCGATCTTGTATTTCAATTATATATTATAAGTTGAATTATATATTTAATTGATATAAATTAAGTTCTTATAATCCAAAAAATGGATAAAATAATGGATTAATAAATCTTGTTAAAATATATTTTTTATATCTCATTTATATATTATAATTCTAAATCAATTATATTTAATTGACATTAAATGTTTAACAAATACAAGTTAATTTCTTAAATAATTTTTTACAAATTAATAGAACTAGAAAGAAAATCTTTGTATAATACATTCATTATTTTGGAGGTAGTGAGAATCTTTGTGGCCTAAGAAGCATTTTTAAAGCCCCACTTTGAATTAGTGGGATTGTGGTCCCAAGACTAAGAGATTGGGTTCATCCACTCACAAGAACCCTACTTAGGTGGGAACCGACATCATGTTACTTACAATCTACATCAAATTCTTGCATGTTTTCATTATTAGCAGAGGGAAAATCAAGATATTATCATGAAATTTTAAGGTTATACTTATGCTTTTAAAATATTCATTATGAGATGTAATTTTAAGAAAGTTTTTCTATAATTAAAAGAGGAAGAAAATAAAATAGAGTTAGAGATCAAATTGGGTGTATATAGTTATCACAAATAAGATTACTTTTTCTTTGTTTTGGAAGGTTGAAAGAGTATTTTCAAAGAGAAGAATCATTCTTAAATACTTAAATCAGAAAGTAAATGTATAAGTCAATAAAAAAATATATAAGAAAGAGTAAAAGAAGTATTAAATATTTTATAAAAAAGTGTCAAAAGTAATGTTAGAATATTTTATTTTTATTATACCAAGATAATGTTGGTATATCTCATTCAGTTACTAATTTGATCTAATCAACATATCCGAATAGATATAAATATAAAAATATAATTAGTTAGTATATAATACAAATAAATATATATATATATATATATATATATATATATATATATATAATAAGGAATTTAATTTATACAATTTTTTAGCCTTATACATTTCATGACAAAAGAAAAATACTCTTCACTTATATATCTTTTAACTAAAACATAATAAAATATTTAATATTAAAACGAATAAGATTTTAAATAAATACAATAATATTGATTCATCGGAAAGGATTTGACCTTACCTCCCTTGTGATTATATTATTAATGTTAATTTTAACATCGGAAATATTATTTATTTAAAATGGTTTTCAAACTATAGTTATTAATTTTTTAAAACTTATTTTTTTTAAATTATACAAGTAATTAGTGGAGAGAAAAAACTATATATTTAAAAAGTAAATAGAGAGCATAAACTAAAATTTAAAATATAATATTTTATAAAATTAATTATAAAAAAATGTGGATACACACACAAACACTGATATAGATTTTTTTTTTGTAGCAATTTAAATCTGATCAAGCATAAAATCAATTTAAAATATGTGTTAGTTAATTTTTTTTTTCATTTACTTTATGTCCAGATTATTATCCAAATTAAAAATTATTTTTCTTATATAATTTATATTGCAATTAGGGTTACGGATCCTAGAGTGGATGGGTTAAGCATCACAAGTGATTTTCTTAGTTGATCCAAAAATTGGCAAAAATGAATTAGTAGTTTTAATTTAGAAATTTATTTTGACTCATTATGTTTAATTTGTAGACTAGGAACATAATATAGAATTAGATAAGATGATTCACTTTTAAAAATATTTATATATTAATATTAAAATAAAATTATAATTACAAATATTATTGTTCCGTCAATTTTAAAATTCTTATTTATTATGATTTTGTCTTAAAAAAATATTTGAGTGAATTAAGAAGATAGGATATATATAAACTATTCTTAACTTTTAAGTGAAATTATAATTATAGATTGAAATATACCAATATATTATAATATTATAGTTTAAATAATAAATATTAATCAATTAAATTTAATTTATTAATTATAATAAGTATCTTAATACATAAATTATAATAATTATTTTAATTTATCTAATAAGAATATTAATTAATAAATAAAAACAAAAATTATATTAAAAAAAAAACTAATATGAAAATATCTCAAATTGACTTGTAGTCCATTTTTTGGGAAACAACTTGATGTATGGAGAATTAATCCAACTTATTTCATTTTTTGCAAATAGATATGAGACAGATCAAACAAGTCAAACTAATACATTTTATTATCTTTAATTATAATTAATGAAAAATCATTACTAATTTATAATTTGATCATAATAAAAAAATATACAATTTATATGGCTTTCATCTTTGATTCTTTTTCAAAATAATATTAAAATATATTTAATTACTCAAATGTACATACTCCACTTTATTTATCCAAATAGACATATTTATTATACAAGGTTAGAATTCAATTACTGAAGAATCGAATTTCGAATAGGAAATAACCCGGACACTAAAAAAAAACAATCAGAATTTAAATCCTGTGGACCGAATTTTAAACTGCACTTTTTTTTTTCATCAAAGTATTATATATATATATATATATATATATATATATATATATATATATAAAATTAGGTAAATATATATATTTATATAATTAAATATTTATATATTTATATTGTTGTATATATATTTATATAGTTAAATATTTATATCAACACATTTTTATACATTTAGAGAAATATATATTATAATTAGATATTAATATATTTAGATATTTATATCAACATATTTTTATATATTTATATATTGATATAACTGTGTATATTTATATATTTAAATTGTAATATATTAGTATATTTATATTTATAATTATATATATATATATATATATATATATATAATTGACATATTTTTAATATTTATATATTTAAACATATGTTAATATTTATAAATTAACATATTTTAAATATTTGTATATTTAAATATTTATATATTGATATATTTAAATATATATATATATATATATAATTGTATATATTAATATATATATATATTATATAATTGTATATATTTATATATTAATATATTTAAATTTTTGTATATTTATATATATATATATATATATATATATTAAAAATTACGAAAATTATTTGATGGATAATGGTTAAGTTATATGAAAAATAAAAGAAATTAGGTTTATATTTCTTTCCTTTGATTAGTTAAAAATAATGTTGTATATTAGAAAAACATTTATAATAAGGAATTATAATAATAAAGAAATAATTCATAATTAACTATTTATTTATTAAAAATATACATAAAGAAA